TTTTTTTTATCAGTTTGATTATGGCATGTAGTTTTCTTTGTGTTTATCCTGTTTGGGGTTCACTGAATTTTTTGAATCAGTGGGTTTATATTTTTCATCAAATTTGGAAAATTTCAGCCATTATTTCTTCAAATATATTTTCTTAAATTTTTATTTTAGAGAGAGATTGAGCATGAGTCAGAGAAAGGGACAGAAGGAGAGAGAAAGAGAATGCTAAGCAGGCTCCACACTGAGTGTGGAGCTTGACACAAGGGCTTGATCGAGCCCATGATCCTGGGATCATGACCTGAGCCTGAATTAAATCGGACACTCAACTGCTGAGCCACCCAGGTGCCCCTCTGCAAATATTCTTACTAGTCAATCTCTCTTTCCTCTGTTGTTGAGATTTTGTTTACATATATGTTAAACTGTTTGGTGATGAAGGTCTGTTCAGCTTACCATCCCTGTTTCCCCTTCGAGCTTCAATTTGGATAGTTTCTAGTATCCTGTCTTCAAGTTCACTGATCTTTTCTTCTCTAGTGTGCAGTCTGTTTTATTAGAAAAGCATCAAGCGAATTTATCATTTCAGCTATCCTAGTTTTCATCTCTGTAATTTACATTTGGTTCCTTTTTATATCATGTCTTTTCTCATCATGTGCATATTATCCTTTAAATCTTTGAGCATATTTATGAAAGCTGTTGAAAGGTCCTTGTCCACAAATTCCATCATTCCTGTCATCTCAGTATGTTTCTGTTGATTGGTATTTTTCTCTTGAGTATTTAGTCACATTTTCCTGCTTTGCCTCACAAGTAATTTTTTATTCTGTGCTGCACATTGTGATATTTGTTGAGCATCTGGATTTTGTTATCTTTCTTTGAAAGGTGTTAAATTTTGTTCTGGCAGGCAGTTAATTTACTTACAGATCAGCTTCATACTTCAAAGGCTTGTGTGTAAACTGTTAGGGTGGGTCTAGAGTGTTCTTATTCTAGGGTTAGAGTAATCCTAAGGCCTGACCTTTCTGGGTTTCAACTAAATGCTTGAGGTGTTCAGCAAGGTCTATCTGCTTTGGCAGGTGGGAACTCAGACATCTCCTACTCTCGTGAGACTTCTGAATCTGTTCTTGGCTCACTCCCCCCCTAGAAGCTGTTACCTTCCAGGCTGTGCAGAGGTTCATTCTGTACAAATCAGTTTGGCACCCATCAGATGCTTTAAGAGGCCCCTCTGCATATTTCTGGAGGTCTTTTTTTTTTTTAATTCATCCCTTTTTGTTATTCTGTCCTGCCAATTCCAGCCATTGTCAGAATCCCTGAACCCTGATCACTGTCTCCTCTGTTCACCCAGACTGCAGTGCCTTCTTTGGGCTCCACCCCTGTGCTGTGGTCCAGAAGGTCCAGGCAGAGACTGGAGTGATCTCACATCAGGTCTTCTGTCGTAAATCACGACCCTGCACTGCCTCCTGTTCCGCGTCTGAAAACTGTTGTTTTATGTATTTTGTCCAGTTTTATAGTTGAAGGAGGACAACTAGCCCTACACCAGTAGTCCATCACGGCCAGAAGTGTAAGTTCTCTGGTTCTGTCTCGAAGACGGAAATCCCTGAGAAAGTGTTTCCAACCTAGACTCCTTTTGCACCACATCGTCCGTTCATTCCCGCCTCCGGCCGTTGAGCATGCTCTTCCCATTTGCCTCAGATGCATCCTCACCCTCCTCTGCCTGGTGAAGGTTTCAGGGAGACCACCTGGTCTGTGTGGTTACTTTTCTCGAATCCTTACATTCTCTGAAGTTTTTTGTTCCCATTGAATTTTTCATTTTACAGAAAGGGGAGACCACCATGCTATTATTTTTAAATACCTCCTATATATAAACATCTCACGTGTGTTCTTCACAAGGGCAGTCAGCCAGTCTGTCTGAAGCTCTCTGTGCTTTTCCCAGTGAAGGCTCAGGTAGGAATTCCAGCCTGATAACATTCCATGTGAGAAGGTCAACAGATGGAGCAAACTGCTGAGTGAAATGAATTAGGAGTCTGGGAAGTTCATCCTGCTTGGTCCGTACCTGCTGTGTGACCCTGGAGTGGTGCCTATACCTCTCTGAGCTCCATGTGCCGCTCTGCCTTAGAGAGACCCCTGTGGCCAACCAGAGGGTAACACATGAGGTAGCTTCTCGTGTCCCCTCCTGGGCATCCCATCTTTGTTGTGGTCTGTTTAAGTGTGGTTCTGAGTTTTGCTTTTCTGGACATTGAGGCATTGGTTCTCTGATTCCATAATACCTCTTGAGCACTTCCTGTATATCAGGGAATGTGCCTGGTCCTGAGTACATGGTTGGGCCTAACTGGCAGACTCTGTCCTCACAGAGCATTCAGGCTAATGGGGAAAGAGACCCCAACCAAAAGACCACAGCATGTGTCATTATCATAGGTGGTGATCAGTTCTTAGAAGGGAAGTGGACGGGGGACTGAAAATGACCAGGTGAGGTGTCAGGGACAGTTACGAGAGGAAGTGATGCTCATGTGGAAGTATGCAGGACCAGCACTAGTTACCCAGGCAAAAATTGGAGGGAAGATCATTCCAGGCAGAGGAAATAGCATGTGCAAAGGCCATGAGGCATGGAAGACACAGAGGGTGTCCTAGAATGGGAAAACAAGAGATGAGCAGGTCCCAGGCCTGAAGATTTATTATATCATGTGCTTCGTGGGTGTCCCTGAGCTCCCTGCCACAGGGAACGAGGGGTCTCTCACACAAATGGCCAGGATTTTGACATCAGGAATTGTAGACCATGGAAAGGTCTGATCAGAGGGTCTCCTAGAAACAGTCCTTCAGGGTACAGTCTGGGGCCTAAGAAAGAAAGCAACGTGTTCAGTGTATTGCTCAGAAATTCTCTGTTCCTTGTGTCCAGGTTCCCAGCATGTGTGGGTTGAGGCCAAAGGGGACCACACGGCCTTGTGCAGAGGCCTCCTTGAGTAGCTGGCAAACATGAGCTCCTGTCCCATCCTGGCATGGACTTCCTATGCCACTGTAAACTTATTAAACATTCTGGGTCTCGGTTTCCTTATTCCTAAAAAATGCGAGTAACAGCTATTCACATTTGAAGAGCCATTTACCATTCAAGGTACTTCTGTGATTTTGTGTGTTCTTGGATCCTCACAAAATCCCTGTGAGGCTGGTCGCACAGAGGTGGGTGTCTCACTTTTATTGGTGGACATAAGGGGAACAGGTGGGGTACAAAGGTCAAGAGAGGGCAAGTAAAGAGTCCCAAGACCTCAGAGGCCAAAGGTGAGGGACCTGGGATCCAGAGGGGGCTTCACTTTGCTCCATACTTAGTCCCCAAACTGCTTCAGGGAGATAGTAGGGAACTCAGAGATACGACTCTGGACACATGCCGTGGAGTCTGATGTGTAGGTTGTTTGGGAATCATGAGATGAGCCGCTCTTTTGATTGGACTCCGGGACCTCCAAGGTCCTTGACCCCAAAAGGGAGAGAGAGAAGGAGGAAACTTAAAGAAGTGTCGTTCCCCACCCAGACCTCTGTAGTTTGGGATTAAGGAAGCCAGACTCTGGAGAATGGGAGTGCAGAGAGTAGACAGACCTGTGTCCTCTGCGGGCTGCGGCCTTGGGGACTCCTCCTAGGACGGGCGAGTGAGGGCCTGCTTTAGGGGGCTGTGACTGGAGGGTCCCCCAGCTCCTGGCATGTGGCCACCACTGAATGAAGGAGGAGGTGACCCTCCAAGGGGGCAGCCTCCATCCTCTGAGCTCGTCTCAGTGTCTCGGTGGTGAATGAAGCACCGAAGACTGGCTTCCCTTGTGACCTTGGGTAAAGTCCTGCTTCCTGCTTCTCTGGGCCTGGGCTTCCTCATCTGTGCCAGGAATGGCCGACGGTGGAGGCCCAGGAAGTGCCTTTTTATTTTTTGGCTCTGAAAGCAGTGGGTGGAGTGGCTGAAGCCCAGGATGGATGGATACTGTCCTGTGGGCAGGGGTATAATGAAGCCCCTCCTGCACCCCCAGATGCAGGGGGGCGGTGACAGAGGCCTTCTTGGGCAGCTCTGCTGTGGCTGGGATGTTGTGTGTACCAGTTCCTGTGCGATCTATGAGCCCCCTGGCCAGCACCAAAGCAATCCCTTCCCGTGCTGCCTGGTCCCCTTTTCACCTTCGGAGGAAGAGTTGCAGTTGAGTGAGCAGACCCCCGCCCCCGTTCCTGTGCGTTTTAAATGTGGGGGTGTGGCCAGGTTCAGGGCTTGGCCACCTGGTAGTTTATGGCCCCGGGCAGTGCGAAGGAGGCAGACCATTGCCTGCCCAGGACGGCCAGGGCAGTCGTGGAGGCCACCGAGGGGTCAGCCCCTGGTTCTCAGTGACTCCAGCTCCTGCAGAGAATTCAGGTGAGGGAGGCAGGGGTTCTGGGAAATGGTGAGCCAGACTTCCCAAAACACCACCAGGGAACTGCTGCCCTTACTTGAATTAAAGCGGCAGGGTACACTTAAGCGGTGTCCCCAAGGCAACAATACCGTCAGTGCCCAGGAGGCACCACAGAGCCTCTTCCCCTAAAATCCTGAGGCGACATTGAGCCCCTCTGCTTTCGCCCCCCACCACCAGTCAACTCCAGCATGTCCCTGCCTGTTCGCTTTCTGTCATTACTTCTGAGCCAGGCTGCCTTGGCTTAGGAGCCAACGTTCTAGAAAATGCTCTCGTGCCCGGTTGACTAATTCACGTTCCCCCAAGCGCAGGTCATAGGCTGCGTTCATAGACGCTGAGAGCCTTGGGTGAGTCAAGGGTTATGGGTGAACTTCCCATTGAGCTGGTCAGTGGCCTCTGGGAAATTCTGAGTGTTAGCTGGTGATCAGGCTTCCCTCTAGGAGAAGCTGGGGAAGGTTCTAGAATCTTGGACTTTCTTAGGCTTTTGAGTAGAAGTGACGTCCTCTACCCTGTGGACGAAGAAGAGGTTTTGAACCTTGAACGTGGGGTTCTGTGGCCCAAGAGGCCACTCACTCAGCCAGCTCTGAGGGCCCACGGGGACTGAGAGCATGACCCTCTCAGGTACCGCCCCTGGGTGGGAGCCACCGGACGATCCAGACACGGGCTCTGAGTGTTCACATCCGGAGGTCTCCCCATCTCCACGCTTCGTGGCAGCGAAGACCCAGACGAACCAGTCGGGGAAAAAAGCTCCGGCCTCCGTGGTCCGATGCGCCACCCTCTTACACCGCACCCCTCCAGCCACCCAAACCCAGACGTTCCGCACTCCAAATTCGGGATCTCCGGCAAGCAAGGCAACTGCAGGTACCAATGGCCTATGTTACCTTCACACTTCCTCCACTCCCTGCCCTTCTCTCCACCTGCCACAGCTGTGCCCGAGGTCACTGTTCCCTTGCAAGAGCGAGTGGCGGTCCCGTGGCTCTCTGGGACAGATCTGGGTTCCAGCTGTGCCTCTGGCTGGCTCTCACCCTGGTGAGCCACCTAGCCTCTCTGAGGCTAGGTTTTTTTACCCTAAATCAGAGGGTTTGTATATGATGGTTTGCAAGCTTTTTTTTTTTTTTGAGTAGGAGAATATTTTTCCCAAAGTCATGGCCCAAGGTGTTAAATTGTTTTTTAATTGCCAACATTTGAGCATTAGGAGATTTTACATAAGGCGGTTGATTTCTAGCTGACATTGGAAGGTCAGTGGATGCCATCTCCAGTGTTTTTGAGTCCATGCAGAAAGGGGCTCTGCCTCCAGAAGGTCTGGACCCACTCCCCTGGAGGGCAACAGTTGGCTTTGGGCGGAGCCACAGTGGCCCCCTTGAATAGAGCTGTCCAGTATCCCGCAGTCCTTACCACTCCCTCCTGCCTCCCCAACACAGTGGCCGCGTGGCAGGTGTCATTCCTCATTGTGATCACACTGTTGTCTGTCTTGCATTCAGCCCGGTTCATCCATCTACATTGCCTGCCTGGACCCTCCTGGCATGAATTTGCATCCCCCAACTTTCTGAAAAACCCAATGTAAAAAACTCATTTCTAGGAAGAGCTGCTCTCCTTGAAGCAGAGTGGTTGACCAGAAGCTCTGTTCTCTTAGCCTCCCCCTGCCTGGTACTACCTGGGAAGCCCCTCCCTGGGCCATAGCCTGGCAGGAAACCAGTGGATGCCAGCTCCAGTGTTTTCTTGAGTCCATGCAGAGAGGGGCTCTGGCTCCAGAAGGTGGACAGGCAGTGAAAGGTACACAGCAGCCACTGCTCCCGGGAAAATGGATTAAGACACACTGGATGCGGAGTAGTGGCTGTCAGGACTCCTGATTCGTATCTGGGTGGGATGAGCCTTGGACTGACTGCCAGGATGTGTGGGGTGTAGGATAGAATGATGATGTGGTCCTTCTGGGCCTATGGGCCTTTCATTGCCCTCAAAAGGACCAAAGCCATCAGTTAAATACACAAGCGACCGAACAGGACTTTGTTACACGAACCAGTAGCTTGGATGAGCGAAATAGCCAAGTGGTTGTCCTTTGCCTTTACTCTTTGATTCAGGAGGCTAATTTTGGGCAAAGATTTGGTTCTTAAAAACGTTTGCAAATAGGCTTATTGTGCTTAGGGTCTTCCAAAAGAGGAGTAAGCAGTCAGTCAACCTTGAAGGTAATGGTTTTCCAGGTACAGTGCTGAGAAAAGCCAATAGCCATTGTATTTTTTGCAACAGTAGTCATAAATTGGTTGGAAACAGACTGGCCATCGTGGGCTCATTGATGATAAGTATTGGCTCAACTCAATAATGGGATCCTGGCTTTCAGGTAGATCTTGCTTTTGCTCTTGACCTTGTGGCTGGGAGTTTTTACACCTGTGGTTTCTGCAGAAAATTGCCTGCAAGGGCCGCGTGGTCTATGTCGGCTCTCAGACCTCAGCGCCTCAGGGTAAGTGTCCAGCAAGCTATGGCATGTGCTTCTGGCTGCCTTCGTGTGACCTGGGAGAGTTGCGGTGGAGGTCACAGAGCAGAGGAGGTCAGGTTGTGAACAGGAATCTGCATGTCAGAGCTGGAAGTTGTCCTCGCCCTTAACCATGGTAGAAGGCCGTGCTCTGTGTGTATGTGCGTGCCTGTGCGTGGGACTTGACCCACAGCGCCACCCTCTGGTTTCCAGGCCAGAGGTGCCGACGCAGGGATCGCTGGTCAAAATTTGCATCTGCAGCATGGGCTGAGCGGTAAAGGGGACTAATTGTAGGAGTGTGTAACCTTGGTGAGGCTGCGTGAAATTCCTCCACAGATGGGTAGCCATTGAATGCATAAGGGTGAAGGTGAAGAAAGGAATCACTTCCTTACCCCCAGATCTTTTTAAAGAGAACGATGCATCTGCCTCAGGAACGAACTCTCCTTATTCTGCCATCGGAGAAGTGAGGCGCACACCCAGCCCCGGAACTGGATGGCCTCACCTCCCTGTCTTTTCATCTATAGCGTGGGAATGACAATGTGAACCTCATAGGGCTGTCGGGAGGACTGTGGGAGACCACAGGCGTAAGGTGTGCGGACCATGCCTGGTGCGTAGCAGGTGCTCAGTAAATGAGAGTCCCCCCACCCCGCTCCGCTAGACAAAGACTTAAGGGTCTTTGCCGACTTACAGATGGTACCTTGAGATGGGCTGCTGGGGAGCTGTCAGCCCAGGCATTTTACAGATACCTTCTGAAGAGTGGGTCTCCCTTGTGATGTTACCGATAGCCTCCGCAGAAAGGAGGCCATCTCAGGAAGCGTCGTTGGGCTCAGGAGACAGGGCCTGTAGGAGCCACCTGTGGCTTCTTTCCCCATTACCCCATCATCTTCGGGAACCCTGGACCCCAGGGTCTGGGCACTTGCCCTTCTGACATAGGGTGGTCTGGGTGACTGGCATTTCCCAAAGTGGGTTCCGGGGATCGCCATTTTTGAGGGATTCTAGGAAACCTGCTATTTTTTTTTAATGGGCTTCGGTGGCTAAATGTATTTGGGAAGGTTGGGTCAAACAAAGCTAAATGGGTCTCTTTCTGGTGGAGCTTTCTCAGAGCCTCTGTTGTTTCCCCTTAAGGACCGGGTCAGCTGCTCATCCCAACTTGACTTGCTCTCAGGAGCCAATATCTCCTGGAACGTCCAGCAGCCCTAGTGCCAAGAGCAACTGGGAAAAGCAGAGCTACCTCCTGGCTCAGATACTCTGTCTCAGGGGTGGGGCTGGGGACTAGACTCTGGTATGTGTCCTCCTGGTTGGACCCCGTGTCTTCACCCCAGGGTGTCCAGACAGCACCAGAAAGGCGCCACCTGTACACAGAGGTGCCCCGGGAATCACTGGAGGAGCCAGTCCCTTCCCCGGGATGAACTCTGACCAGGCCTCACCTGGTCTTTGGGCTCCCGGGGTGTGGGGCTGCCCCCACTCTGCCCGACACACCTCGTCTCTAAGGATGCCCTCCGCCTGGCTTGGGGAGCTGGGGTCGGCCATCTGGGGCCTCCACCAGGACCTCCACCAGGACACCGTCTGTCACACTGCCTGCTCGTGTGTGGAGCCTGAGGCAGCAGAACCTGGCAGAACGAGTGGTGGGCGGCAGGTCCAAGTTACTCAGTGTCACCAGAGTGGCTCCTAAGGAGCCAAAGGTGGGAGACCCAGGCCCACCTGCCATGTGCCCGCTCAGCTGGATTTCATCCATGCGCGCTCGGACGGGTCACGCACGCACGCTCCCGTGCCTGGCCCTCTGCCCCCTCTGGGTAGTGTGGGGGGCGTCTCTTGGGGCCCTGATGAGGGATCAGGCGACTCAGGTGAGCCTGAGGAGCTGGGGTCTGGTTTGGGCTCCTGGGGCCCCTCAGCGTGCAGGTTCCCAGCATAAAGCCCCGGGCTCTGCCAGCCCTTGTGCCAGGGTGGTTCCGAGGTACCCTGGCCTCTACGTCCCCTGTCACGCCCTTCCCTTTGGCCCTCGTAGCACTAACCAGTCACCGCTGCTTTCTCTCGCTCTCTCCTGTCCCTACCCAGCAGAAAGCGCTTTCAGTCGGAGAGTAGAAGGCAAAGCACAAAACCACTTCGAAGAGACAAATAGCAGTTCCCAAAACTCCAGCGGTGAGTGTGCCCTGTGACGGCTGTCGTGCACTGTGGCGCCCAACCCTCCTGCCCACGGTGGCGGCGGGTGTTCTGGGCTGGGCTCCTCATGGTCCGTGCTGGTGTTCTTGGGAGGAGATTGGGGGCGGGGAATCAGAAGGGGGTCAGGGTGAGGCAGAAGTGGGAAGGACCTTTTCTTCCAGGGACCTCCCTCTGGGCCTCAAGAGCATCTCAGGGGTCTGTGGCTCTTTGTCTCTCCCTCCTCCCCCTAACCCCAGAGCCTACAGCCTTGGCTCCAATGGCCCCGGAGGAGTAAGACTGCTGTGTTTTTAGGGTGAACGTGGTCTTTCCAGGAGCGACAACGGGGGTGCAGTTAGAACTATAGCCTGAGAGCCAGAGACTCTTGAGTTCTGGCCCCATTTTAGACCAGAGGCCCTCCAAAGGTACCCCTCAGGCCCCAACCTGCCCTAGGAGGTTTGTCTGAGGTTCCCGGTGGTGTTTTGGCGCCCCCTGGTGGCTTCCCCGAAGTACCTTAAAGCAGAGCAGCCAAAGGCTCCCCCAGTGGACCCACAGGAAGCCTAGCTAGAGCCGTGGGTGGTCACGAGCAGCCCCTGTCCAAAAAAAGGCACAGCAAGCCGGCCTGCACAGTGACAACCAGGGCAAGATGAGAAAAGAATTCTGATCCTTTGGTTACGTTAAGGCAGAGTACCTCCTTGCTTTCTTGCACAGCTGAAGTTGAATTCACCAGAATAGGTGTTGGTCTGTCACCGCCGAGGCCCAGGTGACTGTCAGTCCGGGCCTTTATGAAACAGCCAGGAGCCCAGAAGAACACGGAGGCTTCTGCACAGTTCAGTGAGCTCCAGCTTTGACCTGTAGTCCACGTGTGAACCCCAGCTGCACCACCTGCGAGCTGGTGACTCGGGCCAGCCTCTTAATTTCTCCTCCGCTGTAAAGGCGGAATCAGTCGCGCACACGTCCCTGTGGTGGTGGACGGTCAGTGCCCCACAGAGATTCCGCGCTCACGTGGTAGGGTGGGGTGGTGGCGGTGGTCTTCAGTGAACCAGGTGGTACGTGGGGTGCCCCGAGGAGAAGGAGGGGGGGTGTGCTGTGGGAGCCTGAGAAGATCATCGTGATCCCCTAAACCCTGGAGAGCTGCTCACCCTTTTGGGACATGGCCTCCAGTCTCCAAAAGGTGAGCCCAGAAGTGACGGAGTGACTTGCCCCAGGCCACTCAGGAAGAGGTAGAGCCAGGACTGGAGCCACCACCTCCCAGGGAGCCTTTCCTCCGCAGTCAGGCTGCACCCCCTGCCTCTCCGTCTTCCAGAACAGTCTCTCAGAACTGGGGCGGGGGACTGAAGGGTGAATCGCTGCCACCGGCAGCCAGCATTTATTGAGCGCTTACTACGTGCCTGGCGTGTGTTCAGAGCTGTATGTGTCTTATCTGTTTCCATCCTTACCACAGCCCTGGGTGTTGGGGGAGGAGGGTCAGTGTAATTGTGATCCCCATTTTCTGGATGAGGAAACTGAGGCTCAGGAGAGGTTGATCATTGGCCCAGGTTCCCAGTGTGCGAGGGGTGGTGCTGGGATCCCAGGCCTAGTCCTGCTGGCCCTCCCCTGCTGCCCTCTGCGTTTGAGGCTCACCTGACAATACCAGGAAGCAGGGGAAAGTTCCAGCAAGCAGAACCCTTCAAGGCACAGCACAGCCCTCCCTGCGGCTGCTCGGGTGTCCAGTGCCAGGATCTAGAAGCAGCTCCCAGCTCCCTGTCCTGCAGCAGCCACATATGGACATTTTCTCATTCGCGCGCTGTGGGCTCACTTTCTGGGAGTTGAGGGCGTCCTCGAGGCATGGCCCTGGCTGACCTTGCCCTGCCTGGTGCCCCAGCACCAGCCCCGAATGTGAGCCTGGCTCTCAGATATTCCTCCTCCTCTGAGAGCCCCAGTGGCTCACTGCTTATTAAGAACAGAAGTGATGACAGTTATCTGAGAGCACTGGGACGGGAAGAGACTTAGCTAAACTGTTTCTCTTTTGCAGAAACTGCAAGTCCCCTGATTTCCAATCCTTTCCCTCTCCTACAGAGTAAGTGATGGTCCCATGGGGGGCTGGAGAGGGCAAGGCAGGGCAGGGAATGATCTCAGCCAGCCGCACCCAGCTGCACACTCCGGACCTCCCTAGAGCACTTGCCCCTTAGGCCGCCCTCGGGCAGACCTGACAGCCAGCAGAGGCAGGAGGAGGGCCCAGCCCCAGCGGGGAGGGGGAGTTTGGACGGGGGGCGGGCGGAGCCCTGAGCAGCCTGCCTCTGCCACCCCGGCCCTGGCAGGAACCCAGGGGGCAGCCTCAGGACACCTCTTCCGAGCCCATCTCAGCCTCCCCGTGCGTCTCTTCGTCACTCTTCTTCTTCCCCCTTCTTTCCTCTTCCTCCCTCTTTTCCCTGTGTCAGGCGCTGACTTGAGTGCTGGGGACAGAGGTGGAAGCTCAGGTCCCCCCCGGCCTATGTGGTCCCATTCCCGCGTGTGCTGTTGTCCCTCCCGCCCGCCTGCTCTGTCTTCCCGGTCCTCACCCTGTCCTGTTTGCTCTTGCCTCTTCTGTGGCTTTCTCCACTTTCCGCCTTTCGCTCTCGCTTATTTTCCGCCCCCTTTACTGCCCTCTGTGTTCTTTGCCTTGTTTTCATTCATTCATATACTCGTTTGTTGGCTCACGGCGACGTCTGTGCAGAGGGTGGGCTGTGGAGCACGCGAGA